CAATCATATTTGCGTTATAAAAAGATCATTGTAGGTGTATTGTGGAGAGTGGTTTCTAAGGGATTCAAGGAAATAGTCAATAGGCTACTTAGTAGGCCAAGTAGGTAGTAGTTATGGGGACTCTAACTTGGGTAGTGATGGTGGGGGTGTAGAGATAAATAGATGGATTAGGGGGACTTGGTGATGAATTAGATATTGGGGCCGGGTAGGGAAGAAGGAGGAGTTGAGGATGATTTCTAACTTTTAACATGTATACTCACATCAGTAGTGGTATCACTCCTTGAAATAGGGAACAAGGGAAGAATACCAGGCATTGGAGCAAGATCATGAGTTGTTTTAGATGTGTTAGTTTTGAGGGACCTTGAGACATCCAAGTGGAGTCATTTTGAGTAGGCTGCTGGGTGTACTAGTAAAAGAACTGGATTAGAGATAGGAATCTGTGAGGCGTCTGCATTGAGGTGTTAATTAAAGCTGTGGGTGTGGGTGAGATCACTTAGGGAGAGAAGATAGAATGAGAAGAGGGCCTTGTACCCTGCCCTGAGGAATTCCAATATTTAAATGGTCTAGTCAAGGAGGCTGAGCCAAAAGGGAGACAGGAAGGAAAAAATTAGGGTAGTGGTGAGTCACTGAGGACAAAGGAGGGGTGGTTTGAGAAGAAGGGTGTAATCAACAACTGCAAATGCTGCCAAGAGCTCATATGTAATGAAGACGGGAAATTGTATTTAATGGCAGGCAGGTCATTGGTTACTAGATGTAGAAGCCACATGGATTTGGATTGAAGAGTGAATAGGAAAGAGGTGTGGACTATAGCAAACAGGTAGATGTTATGGGGGACAGTGACTAGGAGGGGGTTATACAGTCAAAGGAGAGTTTGATTTTGTTAATGGGAGCCTTGATCACATTTAAAATCAAATGAGAGGGAAGTTGACTATATTAGAAGATGAGATAACAGACAGGATGAGTTCTGAGAAGGCAGGAGATAGATGGAGTCCAGAAGCAGAGAGGATTAACATGGGTAGATGAGTGTACAATGTATGTGACAGAAAAGGTAAGGGGAGGGATTTAAATGTGAATTCAGGTGGGCTTTCATTTCAGAATTAGCGCAACTAGCTTTCTATTTCCTTGCTTCTCCCCTCCCTGTTTTTTTAAACAGCTTTGTTGAGACATAACTCATATATAATTCACCCATTTAAAGTGTATAATTCAGTGGTTTTAGTTTATTCACACATAATGTGCAACCATAACCACAGTCAGTTTTAGAACAGTTCATACCTCCAAAAGAAACCCCATACTCTGGCTATCACTCATCCCTCCCCCTTCTTATTCATCTTTTGCTCTCAGAAGAGAGCCTAGAATATGATCTAAATTAGATTTAAAATCATAATTTCAGAGAAGAGTATAAAGTGAGGCATATGAAGGATTGCTATGAGCCTCAAAACTTTGATCTAGCCAGAGAAGCATTGGGGGCTGAGGCCTACTACTTAGCGTCACTGGTGTAAAATCAACAGAAAATAGACTCAGAAAACCTACTAAATGTCAGATTCTTCCCTGTTAAAGAGAATATCTTAAGAATGAAGATTAGTAAAATTAAGTTGAAAAAGCACATATAACTAGATTTAAGAGAACACTTACTATTGATAAATGATTTGATATATTGGCCCAGAAAAGGTACAATCTGGGATACTCAAAAAATCTTTTTAATGTTTTTATTGATTTCAGAGAGAGGAAGGGAGAGGGAGAGAGAGAGAGAGAGAAACATCAATGGTGAGAGAGAATAATCCATTGGCTGCCTCCTGCACACTCTTTACTGAGGATCGAGCCCACAACCTGGGCATGTGCCCTGACCCAGAATCAAGTGGTTGATGCTCAACCACTGAGCCACACCGGTCAGACTGAAAATTTGTATATTGGATGACAAACTGTCAGAAATCTGAGTCATTAGCAAATACAGTAGTAACAGCAGATTGGAAATGTTAAGATTCTGCTTAACATTGAGACTGATTAAGGCAGCGGTTCTCAACCTGTGGGTCGCAACCCCTTTGAGGGTCGAACAACCCTTTCACAGGGGTCGCTTAAGACCATCGGAAAACATATATAATTACATATTGTTTTTGTGATTAATCACTATGCTTTAATTATGTTCAATTTGTAACAATGAAATTGGGGGTCACCACAACATGAGGAACTGTATTAAAGGGTCGCGGCATTAGGAAGGTTGAGAACCACTGGATTAAGGTTTCATAATGGGATTTTTAGGAGGAGGATTTATAAGCACTTAGAATAGAAAATAGTGGTTAGTAGATGTCAGCATAAAAGGTCTTGCCAAATTAACTTTATTTCATTTTCTTATGTTCAGAAAGTGTGGAAGGAATAGTTATTCTTATTTTATCAAAGTATTTAACAAAATGCCACTTGAATATGATTTGGAAATAGGCGTATGTAAGTGGTTGAGTGGCCATGCCCAAAGATTATTAGTAAGTAGATAGTTACTGAAAAGAACATAATGATTCAATGGTATAATGATTCCTTTATGGTTATTTCCTTTTCAGCATTTTGGTTAATGATTGAGGCCATGGGAAGCATACCTATCAGATTTTCAGACCGTACAAACAGAAGAGTGATAGCTAGTATATTGGATGTCCTTCCAAATCCAGAAATACCTCCACAGTGTTGAATGCTGGACTGTTAATGAAATGAAATTAAATAGTCAAAAGAGTTAAAGCCTTCATTGTACTGTCATTCAAAGATCTGGTTTTGAATGAAATATAAATATATATATATATATATATGAAAGGCTAATATGCTGTGTGTCCCTCCCACTGTCTGACAGGTCGCTATGACACACACTGACCACGTGCACTGACTTAGCAGCAGTGGTTCTCGGGTGACTCACCCCAAAACCAGAGAGGAGGGAGCCCGTTTATTTGCGGGGCCACGTGATTCCACATTCGGCTGTGGGTTATGTTGTTGCTGGGGCACTGTCGGCCCTGAATCTGATTTACTGCACACTTGTGTTTGCATTCCACACCCGGTACCATAGCAACTTTGCAGAGTGCCCTCTGGGACCCTTTGGGGGATGTCAGAGAGCCGGTTTCAGCCTGATCCCCGCAGGCCAGGCCGAGGGACCCACACCTGCTAGAGGGACCCCACTCACTCCGCAGACACCGGGGAGGGACCGTGGGAGGTTGGCTCCAGGGTGTGTCCAGCTCCTCTTGCCCAGTCCCGCCCCACCGGCCACCTTCTAATTAATTTCCTTTCAGTGTGCACAGATCTGTGCACCAGGTCACTAGTATGATATAATTGCAAAAATTCTTAAAGGTAGCCTTGGGCCACATTAACATTTGTGACATTAGTAGGAAAGTAGTGGTCTGATGTCTTCTGCATTATTCCATTTTAGATAGGGTTGGAACATTAGCACTATCTTTCTTAGGAGGATAGTTAAAGAAGCTGAGAGGTTTCCTGGAAGAAGACTATTTAGGGGAAATGGGCAAGCTGCCTTCAAAGAGGAGCCTTTCTGTGGAAGAGAAGTTAGGATACTGCCTGCCCTGCAGTGCAGCCCCAGGACTAGCAGACACTATAGTGAGGCAGTGTTCATCTCAAAATTTTCTGACAGCTACCTGGTTCCAGAATCTGCTAACACTGCAGACACTGGAAATATTTAAGGTGAAGCAATGTGATTATTTGGTAAAGAGGATAGAAGATTGTAGAAGGGAGTACCTTGGAACTAGATAATTCTTTAGGTACCATGAAATGCTTGTGTCCTGTGAATCTGTACTAACTAATCTCCTTGAAGTTGATTTCTGTTCACAAATACTTTGACTTTTATAGTTTTTTATAGCCTTTATGTTTTTCATCTATCTTTAGTACTCTACTTGTGTTTCCTTTGTTATTACTTATAACTCTTTGGTGTTTTTGTTTGTTTGTTTGTTTGTTTTTTTAGTGGTTCCTTTAGGACTTAGAGTGTATAACTGTAACTTATTGAAATCTGTCTCCAAGAAATATTACTCTGCTTCATATATAAGAATTTTACACTATACTCCATTACCCACATTTGAGTTGTTGTTGCCGCATGTTTTTGTTCTGCTTGTGTCATAACCTTAGAATACAATCATTTATGCTTTAAACAGCCAATTACCTTTTAAAGACACAGTACTCTGCCCTGCTGTGAATGCTAGTCTCCTTGGGCTCCGCAGATGCGCAGCTCTATCATCTCAGCTCAGCTCAATTCATGGAGGCCCCCTCTTCTGCCTGGCTTCCTCTTCCTGTGATGTAGCCTGGAAATTCCCTCCTGATAGTCAACTTGGGCAATTATGAGGTTCACTTCATTTGTTTCCCTTCTCAGAGGTCACTGTCCTATACTGTCTGAAGTTCAATGTTTAGAACTCATTGTTTCATAATTATCTCCAATGTTTTAGTCTTTTTCATGGGGAAAGGTAAAATCTGGCCCCTGTTCCTCCATCTTGGCCAGAAGTGACGTATTATTTATTGCTAATATTTTACTGTTGCATTCAAAGCCTCTTTCAGCTTCATTTTCTGCTCTCACTCCCTTGCTCCACACCTTTTCTCTAACAGACCCTGTGCTTCTTCCTCCCCCTCATGCCTGGCTCATGCCAGTTCTTGCCCCTCAAATCTCCTTTTCCCCCAGCTCTTGCTACTCGGTGTCTCCAGTCTCTGGGTCAGCTCATGTGCCTCTTCCATGTTGTTTACCTCCCATTTGATGCAGAATTGAGTATTTTCTTCCCGTTGCATTTCTATCATAATATTGTTTTCAGTGTTCAAGTGTACATGTGAATCTGCTGTTTTTTCCTGCTGAGCATGTGTGTTGGCCCACACATTGTACACACATGCACAGTGTTAAGCTCCTGAGGGCATCTTGGGCTGGTCCACTTTTGGTGCTTGTACATAGGTCCATGGGTACATAGCGAAGATATTTAACAAATGTAGGTGTGCTATATATGTTTGTTAAAATGAATTGTTTTTCTCCTCTCCCTCAAAATCAGGCCACAGAAGAAGTTTCCAAAAATCTGGTTGCCATGAAAGAAATTCTCTATGGCACAAATGAAAAAGAGCCGCAGACGGAAGCAGTGGCACAGCTCGCTCAAGAACTGTATAATAGTGGGCTCCTGAGCACCCTGGTGGCGGACCTGCAGCTCATTGACTTCGAGGTAAGAAACCAGTCTTATACTTTTCACCAACAGCACCCCATTCATAGTCCTTTTCCATGTGCCTCCCTCCTTTGAAACATCTGAAGATTCCTGCCAGGCTCCTGGCTCAGGGGTTGCCAACCTATAAGCATGCCCACACTGCCTCCTATTAGCAGAGCCAGGACAGGAACTCAAGGGTGTCCCAGGCTTTTCTCCCCTTATTTTACCACATCATTCAGGGAGGTTCTTAGGTATTCATTATGCCCTTTTATTTAGGTTTTCTGTAATTAACAGCTGCTGTTTTACATAATTCACGGGCCCTTGGTTCTCAAGGAATAAACAATCTAAAGATGACCTAGAATGTTAGAATTTTAGAGGTAGATGAGATCTCTGAGAACATTATGGTGGTTATTTTTTTGGTTTTTGTTTTTACCTGTTGAGAATTCATTACAGCAGAGATCATATGTGTTTTGCTTGGCACAGCTTTTAAATGTTTAAATTAGGATGTCATTTAAATAGCAGGAGGTATTATACACAATTTTGAATTTCTGGCTTCTCTTGAAACTTTGGACTCTGGTAACATGGGACCTGTAGTCCTCCATGGCCCCTCAGCTGAAGCAGAGGAGCAACTACCCCGTGACGCAGGAGATCCACACTTGGGTGTGTGGCAGACAGCGCAGCCTACTTTTTTCCCCTGCTTTACCCATTTGCATCTCCTGCCTAGCTCTAGTATACTTTTGAGATTGTTGCCCAGACTTACACAGCTGATCATGCCATGTTATTTAGTCAGGGAACAGTGAGAATAATGGTCCTTGGTACCAGTCTGAGAAGTATATACATATATAATATATATATATACACACACACACATATACATAGTACTGAGGGGCTCCGGCATGGTCATGATTCTTTGATTCTTTATTATGTGTGTGCTTTGTGAAAGCCCCAGTGTCTACCATCCTGAGTGTTTGGATGTCTGTTCAGGTGCTTGCAAAACCAGAGGAGAAAATAGCAGGCAATATAGCCAGATCCAGTTTTGGAGAAGGATATAAGGGTGGGTTCATAGGTTACTCCAGTATAATATTGATAATAAAAGAGAATAAAGTTTTATTTTTATCCTGTAGAACAAGTAGAACTAATATTTCCATTTATGTAGCTGATTTCATGTATTTTTGATAGTGTATCAAATTTCAACAACAACAGTTTTTATTTCCTCTGCAATGTTGGGAATGCACTGGAACATCTAGTTCCTTCTCTGTCCACCCATCCCAGTCCCCAGCCTGGACACCAAATTTAATATTCATTTGGGACTTTAGAGACACAAATTTAAAAGAAGTGTGTGCCCCTGAGACTGATTCTTAGCAAATGCTCCCGACCTAGGTGGGCCACAGAGTGATCTCTGGTGCTGGAAAGCTCTCGCTCACTCCATCTCTCCTACAGGCTTGTCAGCCTCTTCACAAGTGGCCATTCTGAAACATCTCTTGCCATCCAGTGCTGCACTTGCTACTTTCTTATGCAGCTTTTCAGTTTTACTGTAGAGCGGTAATGTCCGTCTATTTTGTTTAGTCAAGTACAGTGGTGTAATTCTGACCTCTGAACTACTACATTATGTGATACTTAGCACCTTTATTATTAATCTATATAGTCTTTGCTAAGTAGGCCTAGTTTAATAGGGGCATGTGTCTACTTACCATTAAAGTTCAGCTTCTTATGGAATTCTTTCATTTTATTATATTAGCAGCATACACTTTCTCCTTTCTTCACTATAAAAAGGAAATATGTGTAGTGTTTACAACACGAGCATCCTGTTTAGGCCGCTTTTTCCATTTGGGTGGGAATGAGGTCCCTGAACATTGTAAACATAGAGCAAGGTTTTGTTTTTCATATCTGAGCATGATTGAGAGGAATGATTGAAATTATATGTAGTGAGATTTCACTTTGTCGACACATTGCTCAGGTTAAAAATAGTATACTATTAAAACTTAGAATTTAAAATTATAAATCAAATTTAATGTCTGTGGATGTTTTAAGGTCATATATTCGGTCATTATTCAATGCCTTGATTTGAGTGTATCTGGGAGGGTGGATGGGCTTTTTAATGTTTAGTCAGGTAAATGTTTTAATGATTGTATTCCTAATAGGGCAAAAAAGATGTGGCTCAAATTTTCAACAATATTCTCAGAAGACAAATTGGTACAAGAACTCCTACTGTTGAATACATCTGCACCCAACAGAATATTTTGTTCATGTTATTGAAAGGGTATGTACAATGTAATAAAATTTATATTCTCAGTTGAAAAATAAAAAGGAAAGATGGTCTTGGGCAAAAACAGGATGGTGAGTGTGGGAAAGCATTTTATCTATGGTTCGCTCAGCTCGATTTTTTATAGCTCTTGAACATATTTCCCTCCTTAAAATTCAGCCTGTGAGCTAAATTGAATTTGAAAAAATGCCCATAGAAGTTTAAAGGTAGGTGAATCATGAGTCTTTAAATTTTCAAATCATACATGACTGAAAAATAAAAGTCCTCTGTGATCTTACTTCTGTTCTCTAAGATTTAAAAAGTTATAAGTGTATGAAATGTCAGTTAAATCATGTATTTAAAGACATCTTTGGGTACACCTGCACCCTGTAAGGCAGTAAAAGCTCCCTAGTAACTGGAGCTGTATAGCTTAACTCCATTAGTCAACAAAGAACATGGTTGTGAATTAGTACCCTTTGCTTTTTATGTGTGTCCACTCACTAACCCATTTAATTTGGTAAAGCACAGTGCATCTCCCTGGAATTACTCCTGGACTAAGCAGGCATTTGTGTTTGGGTAATTTGTCAGTTTAAAAAAAAAAATCCCCAAAAGCCTAAAAGCTTAAACTTCAAAACAAAACCGATCCTGTCCTCCTTCATCACTGAGCCTCCCTGATTGGTAAGGTAACCTCCTGTCAGTTCACACCAGACCTGTTGGCCAGCTTTGGGTATGGTGTGTGTCTGCCCCAGCATTGGTGATGTCCTGTTAAATTGGTGGGCAGGCGTTTTACTGGCATGGATGTTGGTGTGAATCAGCTTGCTCTCCTACTCCTAGCTGTACCACTTGCCTCACTTGATTCCTATCTCTGTGGTTTAACACTTCCCTCAAGTTCAAACTTGCTTAGACAAAGCATGAGTCAGTGCGTGCCTTGGACACCAGCATTCTGTTTCTTTTTTTCTATTTTTAACTATCTGTGTTGCTTCTTCACATGTTGCCATACAGAACTTTTGGCATCTAATTTTTTTGTTGTGTCAATCCAGAGTTTTGTATATAGACATGTAGGGAATAGTCTGAAATTTTGGTGTCCTTTTTTTAAAATATATTTTTATTGATTTCAGAGAGGAAAAGAGAGAGAGATAGAAATGGTGATGAGAGAGAATCATTGATTGGCTGCCTCCTGCACGCCCCTATTAGGGATCGAGTCCACAACCCCAGGCATGTGCCCTTGACTGGAATTGAATCCAGGACCCTTCAGTCCGCAGGCCGACGCTCTATCCAACCGGCTAGGGCAAATTTTAGTGTTCTTCAGGCAGCTTCCAGGAGTCTTTATGTATTTTTAAAGCTAATAATTTCCTTTTGTATAGGTAGCCATCATTATTAAAAGCCATCATTATTAAAATCTATAAATTAGTTATCTCTGCTTACATTTTCCCTTTAGAGTAGCCAAGGGTATGAATGGAACATTGTTAAACATCATGTAAGTAAGAATATTAAGATAACAATTTAAAGAAAAAGTTTAAAGCTCTCATCCATCCGAGCTAGCCAGAGCAGAAACCTCAGCTGGAAAGAAGAGAAGGAGACACTTGCAGAATGCTGCTGGTGTTGGGACCCTTTCTAGCCTGTACTGTGGAACATGTACATCAGACTGGAAGGGATAATACAACAAACCCTTCCTCCATCTCCCAGCTTCAGCATTTCTTAAAACTGTGTCCTTCTTGTTTCATGTATTCCTCCCTTTTTTCCTCCTCAAACACAATGTCACTTCAGTTTGCATCCCTAGTAAGATGATACATCTTTTTTTTTTTTTTAACATGGTCGCAATACCATTTACAAACCTAACATTATCTAATGCTCAGTGTTCAGATTTTCTTGATTTTCATGCCACAAAAAATGACATTTTCCCTTTAGTTTGTCCAAGTCAGGTTCTAAGCAAAGCCCACAAACTGAATTTGGTTGATATGATTCTTACTTAACTCTCTTTTCATCTGTAATAGCTCCTGACCCCCTTTTTAAAATATACCATTTATTTGCTGAAGTAACTGGGTCATTTTTTTGTGTGAAAAAAAAATCACAAATTTTATGTTCAAACTGCCCCTTCTTGGACCAGTGAGAGCTCCTCTCCTTCAAGTTGGCTCCCGTGTCCTTTTAGCAAGACTGCATCAGGCTTTGATGTTTCTGTGCTTTCAGCACATGATGTCCCTGGCTTATTTTGTGTGAGTTCTGTCTTCGGTCCTGGAAATAGCCATTTCTTTAAGGAGTCTTGTGAACTTGCTTTTAAGATTGTTGTTCTTCTGTTGGTCAGTTAGTTTAGATTACTTCCATAGGATGTGATTATCTGCTGTGGCTATGCGTACTTCCAGCTATTCGGTTGCCATTGTTAATTTGCATTTGAAAATACTCTAGTAGTTGCTAGTATTAGACTGCATCTGGAGGCAGCTTCTTCTCTGGCGATTTAAATGTTAATGTGCCCTCCACTCTAGTGCTAACAGGTTGTACAGCATAACTGTTTGCCTTGTAATGATTGGTTTATGGTTTAATCGTATAAGATAAGCTTGACAAACTGCCATCAAAACCTGCCCAACTTGTACCAAACTGTCTTACCCTTGAATTCTAGTCTCCTTACTAAAGATCAGAAAAGATAAATTATATGATTAGCCATTTTCCGAGCAGACATTTTAATCATAATCAGCCATCTAGCTGACTTACCATAAATGATACAAAGCAATGTAGTTTTGATCATCTTGAGACCTGTGATGAACCTATGCACAACAAAAGGGTAATGCTACTAGATAACAATTAGTACTGTAGGATTTCAGGGGATACAATAGGGGGGTGGGGTTAGTCAATAAGGCAAGTATTGGTAAAAGATGGAACATAAGAGTGAATTTCCAGGTGGTTTAAATTGGCAGAAAAAAAGAGTAGGTACAGGGTCACAATTGAACAGAGTGGTGGGCAGCAGTAAGAAGAGCAGGATGCTTTATGACAGAGTGGGAGGTGACACTATGCCAGAGGAATAGATCTGATGCAAAGCCGAGATAGGCATCAAGCCCATACGGTTGTCTTTATTTGATCAGCAAGAAGAAATCATTTTAAACTCCTAAGCTGGAAATGCTATTGATATACTTGTGTGTTGGATAGATTTGGTAAGACAGAGCTTGAACACAGGTGTTGGTTAGGGACACTTGCATTTCTCTCGGTCTGCGTTAATGCCAAAGTAGGAACAGATAACAGGAACTGAAACTAAGATATTACAAAGAAGCAGTTAAAAAGCACTGGAGATGGGAAGATTTGGAGCAGAGAAAGAGGGTAAGTTTGGTCCCTGGCCAATGTCACTCAACTATTTGGAGCATCGTCTTGTGCACCAAAGGATCACAGGTTTGATTCCCAGTCAGGGCACATACCCAGGTTGCGGATTCGATTCCCGGTTGGAGCACCTCTGGGAGGCTACTGATCAATGTTTCTCTCTCACATAAATTAGAAAAAAAAAAGGGGGGGCATAGTTGAAACTATGTTGTCCAATACATTACCTACTAACCACATGTAATTATTTAATTTCAAATTAATTTAAGTTAAATGACATTTTAAAATTTAGTCCCTTAGTCATTTAAGCCAAATTGCAAGTGCTCAATGGCCACATGTGCCTAGTAACTACCATAATGGACAGCACAGATAAAAACCATTACCATTATCACAGACAGTTCTCTCAAAACTGTTTCAGACTCAGGTATTAAAAATACAGCAGTGATGCCAACTTAGATGGAAGCAGGGGTGGCGACCTCTTTTGTGGAGGGAGATGAGATTTCATTTTAGACATGTGGAGTTTATGGTAGACCTTTAATTGAAGTTGTCCAGAGACAACAGAAAATGCCAACAGAAATGTATAGTTCAGATGTAGACCTGAGCAGAAGACCTGTAGGAGTCATGGTGGAAGCAAGATTGTATGGGTGTTTGCTAGCAGACTGGAGGCCAGGCAAAAAAAATACAACAGTCAGAGGGGTAGAAAGGAGAACTGGGAGAGTTTTTTTCTTTGAGAGAGATGTGAAGGTCAGCACTGCCAGGACACTAAGTGATAGACTCTGTGTTAGGAAAAAAGGCGGATTTGTCCAGGAGAGGTCTTTGCTGGTAGGATGTTGGAAAATGGAATTTGACTGCAGGAGATTGTGTGGAAAAGACATTAAACCATGTAAGCAGCTTGGAAGGAAGTAAAGGAAAGAGAGCTATGTGTTTGAGCTGAACAGCACAGCCGATCCGAGGGGGTTGATGCATGTCAGAAGCGAAAGGCCTGCTGGGTGAAAGGGAAATGAGGTTTTCTTTCTGTTCATAGGGAAGGGAGACTGTAGAAACACCAAGATGGATGTAGAGGAAGACTGCATGTGGACTCCCCTCTGCCCACTGCGGGAGTCCTGACTGACATCCTCAGGACCAGGCTTTCAAGTCTGTAGGGCTTAGATGTTGCCAGTAGTCTTGAAAGTACTATTTTGAGTATTGACTTGAAACAATGAACTATAAGGGCTGTACATGTGTTAGAGCCTTTTAGTTACTATGAATTTAGGGAACTAATTTATTTCATATTGTTTTTTTATTCAGCTTTTGGTTTTTCTGAAGTGTTGAGAGCACCCCACATGTAAAGCTAGTAACCCTTTTGTGGAGAGACCCTAAATCAGTGATTCCCAAAGTGGGCGCTACCGCCCCCCGGTGGGCGCTGCAGCGATCCAGGGGGGTGGTGATGGCCACAGGTGCATTTGGGGGCGATGAGTAACTGCTATTAAAATTTTTAAAAAATTAATTTCCAGGGGCTGAGTAATATTTTTTCTGGAAAGGGGGCGGTAGGCCAAATAAGTTTGGGAACCACTGCCCTAAATGCTTCTCTTCTCTTCAAGATTTTTACCTTAAATAATGAACTTTTATTTCCACGATCACTCTAATAGCTGTTATTTTTCTTTGGGTTGGAGCCGTCTTCACCAACTAAAGTGTGTGTGCCCGCTAGAGAAAATTCACTGAGCGCATGTAATGAGAGATGCTGTGTGTAACCTGCTCTGGTCATTCAAGGGCACTTCCTGAAGCATCCTTTTCTAAAAATTTGAACTGTTCAGTGTTGGAGTTTTAAAAGAGCAACCATGTTTGTTTTTTTTCTTTTTGCAGGTATGAATCTCCTGAAATAGCTCTAAATTGTGGAATAATGTTAAGAGAGTGCATCAGACATGAACCACTTGCAAAAATCATTTTGTGGTCAGAACAGTTTTATGATTTCTTCAGATATGTCGAAATGTCAACATTTGACATAGCTTCCGATGCATTTGCCACATTCAAGGTAACATATATAAAAATTATAGACTTCTAACTATACTTGCAACTCCGATTAACAGGTGTGCTGTTTTTCCTAAACCTTCTCTATCGTCCTTGCCTATATACTGCTGCCCCCTAGTGGGAAGAAAGAAGACAGCATCTATACAAGTGTGGCAAAAGCAGGTTTACAGTGTATGTGAAACGGTTTATTCTTATGTTATTATTTATTAACTAGAGGCCGGGTGCATGAAATGCATGCACGGGGGGGGGGAGGTGGGGGCAAGGGGATGTCCCTCAGCCTGGCCTGCACCCTCTCCAATCTGGGACCCTTCAGTGGTCGGGCCTAAACTGGCAGTCGGACATCCCTCTCGCAATCCAGGACCACTGGCTCCTAACTACTCACCTGCCTGCCTGCCTAATGCCCCCAACGGCCCTCCCCTGCCGGCCTGATCGCCCCTAACCCCCTGCCAGCCTGATCACACCCCTAACTGCTCTCCCCTGCCAGCCTGATCTCTCTCCTAACTGCCTCTGCCTTGGCCCCCACCACCATGACTTTGTCCGGAAGGAAGTCGGACATCCAGAAGATGGCCGGTTGACCCGGTCTAATTAGCATATTACCCTTTTATTTGTATAGATTACTGTATTATTCGCCGGCCTGATCGCCCCTAACCCCCTGCCAGCCTGATCACACCCCTAACTGCTCTCCCCTGCCAGCCTGATCTCTCTCCTAACTGCCTCTGCCTTGGCCCCCACCACCATGACTTTGTCCGGAAGGAAGTCGGACATCCAGAAGATGGCCGGTTGACCCGGTCTAATTAGCATATTACCCTTTTATTTGTATAGATTACTGTATTATTCTTCCATACAAACAACTGTAAACCTGCTTTTGCCCCACCCCTGTATATGTATGTATACAAATAAAGTCACAGTTTTAAAGGGTGGAAAAGTTAGAATTTTTAGGCAGGGTACATTTTTCTGTTAAATTACCCATCAAGTACAGTAATAGATATAACAACCAGATTTTTCTCCTGTGTTGAGCATACTGTTGCAGTTTATTTGGTTAAGCACCAGATGAAGTAGTTGGCCTCTGTTTGGGCCCAAGGGAACCAGGGACTTACCGCTTCCATCTCATGCTCATGCCAGAGCTTGTTTATTAACTACAAGAGGTGAGGGCGGGCAGAATCACCTGCACTATTCAAATTAGCCTCTCCGCAGTGTGCCTTATCTCCCTGTTGTATAAGGAGATATTACAAAGAAGCAGTTAAAAAGCAGTTAATTTGTTTAAATTAAATGCACATATATAGGATACCACTGTGCAACATGCACATTTTTTTTGTTTTGAATTGCAAGGTTCTGTGCTGTTTAAGGTATGTAAACAAGACAGTGATCTTTATAATCTTTCTGTGTTACATTCCCTTATGTAAAATGTGTGACATCTTAAGTCAATATTTAGAACTGCTATTTTAATATAATCAGAATTTAGTATACTAACCTGCAGATTGCTATGCTCAGAAACCGTGAATACTGTTATAGTGACAAGTGGCCACTTCTCTTGTAAGTGTTCAGTTTTATGATTATAAAGAGCGCCTGAGGTGAGCACAGTCCCTGGTTTCTGGGTAAAATATGTCCCTCGGAGTGAAGGAACACCCTTAAAATAGGATGAAAGCCTAGCACCCTGGCCACTAGGATTTCACATTGAATGAGAATAAAATAATAGTGTGAAAGGTCTAGGAATTTATTTTCCCAAAGCCATTAGAAAGGGTATCAGAAGCCTTCGGTAAGACCTCAGCTATTTCTATGTCAGTGTACAAAGCAAAATGAAATTCATTTAAGATGATAGCATAGAGTGCTAAATGTGATGCTTAGTTCCACCGCCCTAGGTGTGGTAGGACTCTTGCTTAGGATGGAAGGAATGCCCCACTCAAAAGAAGCAGACCGTTATGAAGGGAAGTGTAGTAGCATCATCTGTCAACACGAGGAGTCACTCCTGCTTGAAAAAAAGCCATGAGCCCAAGAGTGCAGCTCTGGGAGCAGGAGGGTAAGCAGAGAGGAGGAGAGGGCGGCAGTGGTGTGGGAGAATGCAGCCAGACCACCGGACCAAGGAGGACATGACTGGTGTGCTCCTGGCACAGATGGCAAAATTGACCAAGAGGTGAGAGAAATGTGCTAATTATATGCCAGAAATGTGATTCCCAGTGTCTGACAACGTTTTGATTGGCCTTGCTGATAATTTTATCTCAGTTAGTGCTGCTGCTTTGAATTAAATTCATACCGAGGTGATGGAATCACTGTGGGTAAAGCAACCTGTCAGGTCATGGTAGCCACAGAGGGAAAGACTGGGCAGAGTCAGGTGGTAGTCCTTACTGGAAGAAGGGAAACTTTAAAAAATAACAGAGGTGTCTAAGGATGAGCTCCAGAGGAGAAAGCATGGAGAAACTGGCTTGGATTCTGTATCTCAGCTGCTGCTGGTTGCAAGGAAAGTGGAGAGCTCATTAAAGAGAGCTCTCCAAGAAACGAAAAAGACAGGAGGCCAAAATCAAGACAAGAGAAAGAGAAATAGACCTAGCAAACAGACCAAAGCTACCTCCCCACCCCTGCCTAAAAGAAACTCCACCTGAGTCAGGCAGGGGCCAGTCTCCGCCTCACTCCATAGGCGCTGGCAGAGGGAAGCGGGCCTGCCTCTCTCCCAGTTTACTCTTTGCAGAGAATACTTTCATAAGGAGGAGAACAGATCCATGGTTCATGGTCTCCTTTAAGAATGTGACCAGAGCAACTTCCTGAAAATGCAGTCTGCACACAAAATCTTTCCAACAAATGCAGCTCATCCATAACTCTGGATTCAAAGCCCCTGGAAGTGGGCCGAGTCTTAAAAGGAAATTAAAACTACCTGCTCTAAATGTGTCCAAGATTTGTAGCTCAAATGAACAGGTACTGAGATAGTTAAATCAGTGGCCAAGTATTTGTTAGTGATTATTTTTAAGGAATTAGGAGATTGGGAGGGGCATCAGAAGGCCAACAAATATATTTCCAATTTTCCAGAGTAAAAGAAGGTAGATTCCCCAGAGAGGCTGGTGGAGCTTGGAGCTTGATGGTATACCTGTGTAAGGTTCTAGAAAGTATTTCTAAAGAGATGATATCTGAGCATTTTGGAAAGGAAACCGAGTGCCCACAGCCAGCATGGATTCACTAAGAGTAAGTTCAGTCATACTAATCTCATTGATGCCAGTAGATCAGGGGCCTAAAGACAAGGCTGCCTGGGTTCAATTCCCAGCTCTGCTGCTGATTGCACCTGTGTCTTCATCTGCTAAAATGTGGGTAATAATACTAGTGTGTCAGGTTATTGTGGCCTCACACAGTACATGTGCTGTAAACAGTAACTAGTGGGATTCCTTTAAGACAAGGAGGATATACTAGATGTCAAATAATTATACAGACCTATTTTAATGGAAACAATAAAAAGATTAGGAGCTAGATGGAGGGAGTTTCAGTATGATGATTTGCAACTAATTAAATGCAGTATCCATAAGGTGCTAGAAAATGGATCACCATCACCCTGGAGAGAGACTCTAATGGATCTCTGCTCGGCCAAGTCGAACATTATTAATGACTTGGATAGAGGGTGACAAGGCATACTTACCAAATGTGTCAGTGACAGCCATTAAGGGAAAGATAAATAACAGTGAGCCTAAATAAGGCTTCATAAATCCAGAGAGGCCAGAATATAACAGGATAAAGTTAATTATAGATAACCCAAGTCTTCTACTTGAGGACCCAACCATATAAATATGGGATCGGGGAATAGGCATGATAATAATAGTTAATGCCAATTGTAATCGTTACTAAAATGTAGGTAAGCTCTTATATTCAAACAATCCTATGAAGGAAGTATTACCATCTCCTTTACAGATAAGGACACTAAAGCATAGAAATGCTGAGTAAAGTCAGACAATACATGGGCAAGCCAGAATTTGAACCCAGGCAGTCTGACTACAGAGCCCACTATGAGTAAACAAAATTCTGAATTTGTCCATTAAAATTGGCAGTTTGATGATGCTGCCCCAGAACTACATGTGACCACAAAAGTGTGTCACCTAAGGAGCTTAATGGTCTCACCCCACTATAAGCTTACCAGGTAACAGCACATAAATGTGTTCCATTCCAGGCGCTACACTTTAAGAGGCACATAGACAAATAGATGACTTTCAGAAGACATTAGATGGTGAGGGGGACTCAGAACCTGTCATTCGAGGAGTGGTTAAAAGAACTGGACCTATTTAGCCTGAAGAAGAGAAGACTCGGTAGGGACTTGCCATGAGAGCACTGCTGTATTTGAAGTGGGGTTCTTTAGAAAATGGATTAAACTTGTTTCTGGAAGTACCTGGGGCATAGGCTTGACTCTCAGCACAGGAAAAACGTTCTAACTCAGAGCTCTAGAGGTGAACCATACAGTTAGAAGAATTGAGTTTCCTGTCCTTGGACATACATATTCAAGCATCAGATAGGAAATTGAGCCAAGTGACTTGCTCTGAAAATCAGCCCCCTGGTTTAGCAGCATTTCTTCCTGGATTCCAGGGCTGTCTTTGTCACATGATATTTGGGGCCCAAACTTACATAATTTTTAGGAATCTTTAAATTCAACCTACTCTAAAAGTTGGCTGCTTAAACTGCTGGACTTGAGAGATGACTCCTGACCTTTCTCCAAGTTATATACCAAGGCCTTGGATGTACTGGAATTCAGATAGGTGGGAAATGAGAAGTCCTTTTCTTTACCCCCCCCGCC